TATCCTGTAGCCCTGTACTGCCTTTTGTACATCCTTTTGTCAGTGTCTGACCTGAGGATGAGTCACGGCCATTGCTTGACCAATTTGCTCTCTGTGAAAGCTTGAGGTCACATTTCTTAAATGAAAGTGTGTGCGTGTATCCTTATCACTGGGAACATCATAATTTCAGGTGTCTTGTCCGCTCTGTCTGGATTTGTGTAGTACAGATGCTGGTATACTTCCTTTGGGATATGCTTTACTCCTGTAGATGGGAGACGTCTAAAGCGACCTGGGACTGTAGCTGCTGCCATTTCCTTGCATACAGTCCTCACTTTCTCTCACTGTTTCTAAGACCGAGTCCTCAGCAAGGAAAGGAAGTTTTTTCCCCCTCAGTCACTATGCGGTCCTCGCAGCTGCCCTCCCTGCCACGTCCTGGGAGCATGTGTCACGCAAAGGCGTGTGAGCCTTTCTGTTTCCTTCACTGTTGATTTACTTATTGATACTAATTTCAAGTTCATATTGATGAATCTTTAGGCCATTTAAGTTCCAGTAGTAGACACCTTGTCTACTGTGATCTACTTGGCAGTAGTACTCACTGTATTTAAAAGACTTGGGACTTTTTTTTCTCCTGTTTTCCCGCTAACCACCCCCAGGAGACTCTTGTGAACCACAGCTCTTCTGTCTTTGTAATTAAAAGGATTATTGCCCTACCTATACTCTCTATGGACTCTCAAGAAAATATACTAGGAACATATTAATATGGAAGGCTTCAAAAATAGAGAATTTTAATTTTTTTTTTCTCATCTGCCCAGGGTGGTTGGATTTAGGGTTGTACCATGACAGGCAGTTGGGCTCTTTCAGAGGCATTTCTGATCCTAGTCGGTATGATTGCCACAGATGGTTTGCTTTTGTTATAGTTTCCTTTTAAAGGTAAGGTTGCATTAAAGACATGAACTTTTATGTTTCTCTTAGAACAATCAGCACCCTTCAGTGAAGGTTTGGAGGCGCTAGAACTCCCCCTTGTGGGTTTCTAAAATATATTGTACAGTGAATGAAAGTACAGGTTTAATTTTTTTAAATGTAGTTTTGTTTAAATCTTTATTTGGTACCGGGTCTTTTTTTTTTTTTTTTTTTTCCTGTATTTTAGGGAAAGGTCTACAGGGTGTTTAGGATCTCACTACTGGATGGGACTCATAGTGATTCTCCTGTTTACAGCCAGCCTCCCAAGTGCTGGGATTACAGGCGTGTGCTGCCACACCCAGTCTCAATCACAGTCTCAGTGCACCCTGGCACGGCATGGCAGTGGTACAGGGTCTTGCTATGCAGCTCAGACTTGTAGTGATCCTTCTGTTTCAGTCTCCCCAGTGCTGGGATTGTAGGCTGGTGCCACCATGCCTAGTTCCTGGCATGCCCATTTCAAGTTTGACTGATTCTATAACATCTGTGACTATGTGTCTTGTATTTATGTACTTACCAAGTATACATTGAGGTTCTGTTATGTGATGGGCATTATGATAAAAGCCCCAAATAGGGTGCTCACTGTCTCTTCAGTCCTTAACTGGGTTGCTGCTGGGTTAGTGAGGCGCTTTATGAATGGTGCAAAGGTGTGAGGTGTGGGCAGCTATCTACCCAGCAGCGAGGCCTGAGAGAGCTGTTTCAGCCGAGGCACAAAATTGCATTAGCAGAGGTGGAGGCAAGGGCAAGAGGGGGTCATGGATTGAAGGCAGAGGAACAGCAACTACAGAATATGGAGAGCAAGCAGTGTGGAAGTTGTCCTAGGGAGGCTGCACAGGAGGGAGGAGCTAGAGATGAGGCAGAGCCTGAATTTTGTAGCTGCAGTAAAGAAGGTGGACTTGTGCCAAGTGAGGAGTCTGACAGGTTATAAGCATCTTTGCAGGGCTTATTTGCAAACTTTTTTTTTTTTTTTTTTTTTTTTGGTTGTGCTGGAAATGGGAGCCAGGACAGGCTTGCTGGGTATGCAGCCCACCCTGAGCCCTACCTCAGCCTTGTGAACTCACTCTCAGCAGTGTGCAGGATGTAGTAGAGGGGGCAGGGCTGGATGAAGGGGGCTAGGAGGAAGTAATTACAGCATAAACTTCTAATGTAGTTTTGTGTGGTTAGAATATTTTGGTTTTGCAGACCACACAGTCTGTGTTGCAAGTACTTGGCGGTGTTGGAGAACAAAAATAACTGGAGACCAGTAGTGGCAAACCTGTGGTGCATGTGCTGCAGATGGCTATCTGTTATCATTGACAGCTCTAGGGGCTTTACCATCACTGCCATAGCCAGTATGGTGTGGAAGGAACCGCGCGGCTGTGTTCCAGTGAATTTTATTTGCAGAAAGAGGCTAGTACCATTGTTAGCCTAGAGTACAGCTTGTCAATAACCCTTCTCCAGTGTAGTGAGAGTGAAGTTCAAGCCTAGCCTGGGCAACTTAGTAACTTAGCAAAACTCGTTCTCAAAATGAAAAAATAAGTCTCCAAAGAACTGAGGATATAGCTCAGTAGAGTTCTTGGGTTCAAACCCCAGTACCACACAAAGCAAAACAAAGTCCTCAGAAAGACCTAGGCATGAACTTAGGGCAGCTGAAGAGGGGCCTTGGCTTCTCGCGGTTATGGACTTCAAGCTGGGTCATTAGGTTTCTAGCTTAAACAGTCATGTGAGTAATGGTGTGGATGCTGAACCCAGCACTGGGACGGGCCAAGGTAGCTTGCTGGGATATGTAAGTGTTCATGTGATGCCCTTTTCAGCTTGGACTGTGGCAAGTGCAGAAGTCTGAGGTGGAGGGATGGGGTGGGTGTGCTTAGTGTGTATTAGAGAGTGTCTTAGTTACTCTTCTCTCGTTGCTGGGACAAATACCCAACACTCAAAATGAAGGAAGGAAAGGTTTATTTAGCTCAGTTACTGGAGGTTTTAGTCCATACTCAGCTGGCTTCAAGGCAGCCTGGCACAAGGCAGAGGGCAACTTTTCATGGCTGCGGCAAAGAGCAAGAACTAACGGAGAGGTAGCAGCAACTCTAGCAGCTAACTTCTCTTCCCTCCTTACATTGAAATGCGAATTACCTGCCCCAGGGCAGGTGCAGCATCCACACCCACAATAATCACAAACTCCAGAAGCTGCCCCAAAACTGCATGAGGCTTTAGGGGGACACCCATACATAAACCGTAACAGAGAGACCTAGCTAGCAGGAGAGGTCCGGACAGCCGCCACATGCCTGCCTCTAGGGGCTGGAGGAAGAACAGTGTGGAAGGAGGAGAAAAACCAGGAGAAACAAAAGGTTAGTGTTTAGTGAGGGAGAAGGGACTCTTGGATCTGGCTGTTGAACATTGTTTGTGATTGTAGTTAAAGCAGTTTTACAGAAGTGTGGCTTTTTTGTAAAAATCTTTGGTGGAGGAATTTGTTCATAGAAAGACAAACTCAAAACTCTAGTTAAGCTTTTAGAGTGGAATTATAGATCATGCTCTTAAGAATGCTTGCAGTTACTAAGCACAAATTTTTAAAAAGCCTATTAATATATGATACCATGTATAGGCTTAAAGTACCCTTAATATCTTTACTGTATTAAAAGTGTAATATGTTTTGTTCTTTTTTTTCAATGCTTATCTCCTTGGATGGCAAGTAGAGTAGTTACAATGGTGGTGGTGGTGGTGGTGGTGATGGCGGTGATGGTGGTGATGGTGGTGATGGTGGTTTTGGTGGTGGAGACTAAAGCTAGGGCCTCACGAGTGCTTGAGCAAATGCTTTACTGCTCAGCTACAGCCCCAGCCACGGTTATATTTTTTATGTAGCATACTGAAATCTTTAAAAATCTAACAAACTGAGATTGTGGTGATTCTACTTGATGCGCCTTCCTGGGGTTAGTAAAGCTCACATGCTTTCTTAATTCGCAGATTTCCAGGTGCTCTGACCGTGGCTCCTTTTTATAATCACACCAGCACATCAACATACGAAAGAGGACACCCTGGTTTCTGTAGATTGGTGTGTTGTACTAACTAGCTTTTCTTTGCATTCATACATCTGTCGGCTCTACTGTCCCCCTCTACTGGCTGTGTCCCTGGTCGGATTGTTCCTTTTCGTGAGCATGTGTAGGTGTATTGCAGTGTGACCAAATCTTTTGAATGTCACAGAGTCCTGCATTCTTTTCATAGACCTTTGTCTCCTGTGTCCATAGCTCTTCCACATAGTGCAATAGCCAGTTGAATTTGGGCATTTCTTCAAGTTTTGTCTGACTCAGGAGTCATGGCTTTTGAAGGTCATTGTACTGCTAGAAGGCACACAGAAAAATAATAAATTGGTTGTTAATGTAGGAGACTTTTATGTTTTCACACTTAATAGCACACAGAACTGCTGGAGTACAGTGTTCCTGTATTTAGAACATCCTTACCTGCTTATTGCTGTCCTAGGAATGAAGCCTGTGGGAGAATTTATGATTTACCTTTTAGAAAATAAGCTCACTGTTACCACAGTTTTGCTCATTGTTATGCTTCCAATAATGGCCAGCACTTACCAGATACTCAAATATTTGTTGCATGGATGAATAAATGTGGTTTCTGAATAAGTGATGGGCTGTTTACTGTTGCTGTTAGCATGTACCTTTTGTTTCCTATTAAGCTGTTGTCCCCCTTTTTTCTTATTTCAGGCAGAAACCACTAACACCAGCCTCTTGCAGGTGCATCTGGAGTGCAGTTTACATAATAAAGTGTGTCAGCAATTAAAGGTAAAATGAAAGATTTAGTGTTTCCTTTCAGCCTTCCTGCCTCTTTGCTTAAAAATGAAAACCAAAACAGCACTCATTTCTACTCTCAGAAGTATACATTCTGTTGTCTTTTAAAAAATCATTTATTTACTTATTTGGTACAGGATGAGGGTTTTGGGGGTGGCATGATGTATGGTGCCTGGGATTGAACCCGGATCCTTGCACTTGCCATGCAGGCGCTTAGACTGCTGAGCGTTCTCCCCAGCTATTCTGTTGTTTTAAGTGCTTATCTTTTTCAAGAATTTGAAATCACAAAGTTTGGATGATTTTTCTTTTTGAGTTTTTCCTATTTTTCCCTTTCCAATCTCAGAGTTGTTATCTGGAATCTCATGATGTTTTACATTTACAAATGAGCATAATTGTAACAATGGAAAACTCCTCAAAAGCATTTGAAGAAAACACTCAAGATTTGTTAGATCATCTCTCCATTGTTTATGTAGCAACAGACAAATCTGAAAGCTCAGGTAAGATGAAATCTCCTGCAGCATTCCTCCTAGTGCTGGGGATGTAACTCGGGAGTAGCGTGTGTGCTTAGCACTCATGAGGCCCTGAGTTTGCTCCCTAGCACCACAAAACAAAATAGAAATCTTTGTTATAGAGTTTTGACATTAACCTTGCATCGTCAGTCAGTAGTGAGCAAATCAAGGCAAAGAACCTTTGCTTTTATTAAAGATGGCAGTAGAAACTGGCTGCCAATCTGCTGCAGCTAATAGGGCTGTATTATAATTTGAGAGTAAGTTAAATGACCAGTGCAAATTATTCTGAGTCCTTGTGAAATAATTTTTCTTGGAATTTCATGTAAAATGTTTGAGGTCTTAGGTCTCTTATTCCAGTTTTACTGAATTGCAGAAAGCTTGGTTGACTAAATCATGCTATTTTTGTGTTGTCGGTAGTCAGCACCCTAGCTAGTTCTTGGATGCCTGACAAATTACAGTGGAATTTAATGTTTAGTTCTATGAATTTTGTCTTTGGAAACGTGAATAATTACTTGATCACTGTAACTATCTAATACTTTTGGTAGGAAATATATACTGATGATCTATGAAATTCATATTGTGAGATTTATTGATAGCCTTTAGGTATGATGACTGTTCTATGGGAAAACTATAAATATAGTAAAAAATATAAATGTAAGTATATAAATATATATATATAAGAAATGGCACAAATGATACATAAAAGCATAGTTTTTTATTGCAGATTTCTGTCTTGGTTCTGGGGACAAAACCCAGGTCCTGACACAGGCTAAGTACATGTTGTTCTGCTGAGCCCTGGTGGCTTCTGAGTTATGGGTTGGATACCAGTTACCTTCTGGTTCTCATGACTGGCTGAAGTTGTGATGAATTGCAGGAGAGCTTTTCTGTCTTGTTTGTAGTTACTGGTGATTCTCATAATAGGTGGGTTAAACTCACATGTTGGAGAAGACCCCTGTTCTGTGGAGAAAAGCCAGCCTGCATTCTGAGATGCCAGAGTTTGATTCTTTCCAAGCATGGCTGTTTGCTCAGTTAACCCCCTGCAAACAAACAAACAAATAAACCCAAACAAACAAAAAACACAGTATAAAACCTAAACTGAGGTTTTCTGTCAGGGAGATTCTTCATCATACAGAGAGCCCACATGAGCAGGCCAGTCTTTCTGTAAGGAGGATTTTTCTTTTGACTTAAAAGAGTACCCAAAAGGAAACAGCTTCTGGTTTTGATACCAATATTCAAAAAATAAGGTAACTTTTTTTGTAGAAATGTATAATCAATAACAGTATTAAGGTCTAGGAATGAGATGGATTTTTGTTTTAATCTCATTGCTTTAATTCTTTTGGACAGATGATTCGGCAGTGAATATGTATGTATTACATTCAGGAAACGGCCTTATATGGATACAGGTATTAATAAATGCTTACTTAAAGAAGAATTTGAAATTGTAAGTGGGCACTAAATTGCAGTATGTAAGAACTTCTCAGGAACAGATGCAGAAATAGTCGTATCTGTTATGTTTTGCTTTCATTAAACCCACTCCCTCTTGCTTGAAGCCCAACTTGTGTAAAAGTTACCCCCCATTTCCTTGTAGACTCATCTGCTGAGCAGTTGTTAAGTATCCTGAACTGTGCTGTTTATTTATATAGCATTCAAACTACATAACTGTTCACCTGGCTGAAGGTAGTAATCGGGTTTTCTTCTTGCAGGATGTGCATCATCTCTCACAAGGGGATGCTTTGTCTCTGCAGTTTAAACCAGTATTGCTACCTACTTCTGCGACGAACTTCACCAAAATTGCCTCTTTTACTTGCAAAGGTATTCATTTTAAAAAGTACTGGAGGTTGTCTCTTCCTTTCGTTACTTAGTTGATGGTTTGGCAGTACTTTCTGCACAGTAATTTAAAATTGCAGATGAGAGACATGGATTTAAAAAGATTTTGATTTCAGTACACCAAAGTCTTTGTTGTTAAATGGTGGAATGATGTAAAGTGTGGTGATGGCACTTGTTTCCTGCTCTGTTTGTAGGGTTGAAAGCTACAGCATGTTGAAGCTTAACTTGGTGACTTACTGTAGGACTGGGGTGGACCTGCATTTGTTGGAGGTGTTGCTTTCAGCAGTAGCTTAGCTATTGCTTAGTTTTGTTTCCTTGTAAAGAATGTGGTTGAATACTTAGTGAGCAGGAACCCCTGTCCTGCCTTCAGGTTCTTCCTTATAGCTGAGAGTTCTGTAGAGGAATTCAGATGGACTTGAAATACAGGGTAATATGTCTGGCTCACGCATGTTTCAAGAACTGTAATTCAAAGCAATAAATGAGATATAATTTATTACTTAGATCACTAAGGATCATAAAGGTTGTTAATATTCTGTTAGGAGTACAACAATTAGGAAACAAAAGATACTTGTTTTAACTGGAGTATAAATCAGTGAAGGCTGTTAAGGAAGGAAAATTGTGAGTCTCAGTGAAAATTTAAAATACTCTTATTTGTTCTTTAGTCTTCAGTTCTAGTGGTAGCAGTGTTTCCTACAGGTGTGTGTATTTAAGACTACGTCAGGGACCAGTGAGATAACTCTAAAGGTCTGAAGTGCCTGCTCAGGCAAGCTTAGGCAAGCACACAGGGACCATGTTTCCATCCCAGCACCACATACCATGCCAGCCCTGCCCCCAGGGTGGGCTGAGCCAGCCAAAAAAAAAAAAAAAGAAGAAAAAAAGACTACATCAGGTTGGGTATAGTGACGTGTGCCTGTGGCTTATATCCTCAGGAGGCTGAGGCAGGAGGATCACTTGAGCCTGAGCATTTTCTGTTTAGGTACAGAATGCCTGGAAGGATGGATATCCAAGGAAGTGCTAAGAATCATTTCCTCTGTCAGAGACGCAGGGGTGAAGCAGATGTTAGTTTCCTTTTTTAAATAGTGTTTGAATTGTTTTTGGAAGCCTATGTATATATAACTTTGAAGAAAATTGACTGTTAGCGTGAGAGTCAATAACTCCACATTAGCAACTTCACATTATGACCTAGATGAAGGAAAGCCACTATTTTATCATGAGTGATGTTTGAAGCCCATTCCCACCCATTACAGTTAAGCTCACCTTTGCTGTCAGGTCTCATCCCTGTCTTGCTTTGTGGGCCTCTGTGTGCTGTTCCCCGCCCGACCAGGGAGCTCTGCTCCTTACTTCCGTCATCGCTGGCAGAACTAGGAGTTTCCTCTTATGCTAAAGACAGATCTGTGTAAAGGAAAAGCCACAAAATACTACTTTCTTTTCCCCCCCAAAAAAAGAAGATATGGAAGGTTTTCAAAAGCGATGGGGAGGTGCAGGGGAGATGCAGACCTGGTATTCCAGATCACTGATAGCAAGCCAGTGAGGAGGAACATAGGAGCATTTGAGAAAGTGTGTTCCTGTGTATATTTAATTCAGTTTCAGTGATGTCAGCCAAAAGTTATAAGTAAAACTTGTATCTTATTTTTGTTCAGGCTTAATTAAAAATACTTGCATTTTACATTTATTTCTTTACACAAAAAGCAGCTACAACATGTGACAGTGGAATTATAGAAGATGTGAAGAAGACAAAAACCACTCCAACACTAAAAGCATGCCTCTCATCCCCAGTGGTGCATGGGTATGTTCTCCCAAATCATGGCTTTTCCTCTGTAAGTGCTTCTAAAATGCAAGTGATACAGCTTGTATACTTCTCTTTCTTGAGTTGCCTTCCCCTGTGTCAGCACTGCTGAGACCGTGAAAGGTTTCCTAACAAAATGGGAAGAGAAAGCTAAGTAATTCGATTTATGAAGTAGGTTCCAGGCCTGGGGGTCACGTGTGTGGAAAGAAGTGCTTGTGCGAGTTTCTGAGTGGCATTCAGACCTGGTTTTGCCCTGGTGGCCTCTCTGAGCTGCCCTCGCCATTGCTGGGCCATTTCTTCTGTTTTCACTGCTGTTGCTATAAGCCAGGAGGTTGAGGAAGTGACCTCTGGTCATTGCCAGTAGCAGTGTTTCCTGCTGCCCCCTCTTTGCAAATGGAGGCTGCTTCAAAGCTAATGGTGTGCTAGCACTCAGGGCTAACTGCCCACGTGTCTGCTGTCCACAGGTATTTCAGAGTGGACTCCTCTGCAGCCCGGTTTCACATAGAGAGTCATGAGAACACGTCAGGAGTGTGGTCCATATGGTGCCTCAACCATTTTGACCCAGGTGTTGTGTTAAAGGATGTGTTTATTTCCAAGGAAACCAAGCACATTTTAAAGGTATACATTTCTCCAAGCTTTGGCTTATTGTAGTTTTGACTTTAGTCAAATGCTATGAAATTAATGCTTGGTAATATAAAATTTAACTTTGGTGTGCAATTTAAAGAAATATTTTTCCTTTAATATTCCAGAATGCCTTTTAGGGTCTCTTATCTTTCCTTTCCCCTCCCAGTCACCCTAATCCCTTGCCTCCTTCTCATTTTTAAACTGTTGTTCAAGGAGCTCAAAATAATCAGTGTATATCTTAAAAAAAATGCTTACCTTAACATTATTTAAAATGTTACGTGATTTATACTAAAATATTTTATTTAGTAAAAATCTAATTAATGGTAAAATAGTAGTTTGCAAAGTGCCATTTACAGCAACATTAAGATTATCTCTATGAAAATGAAGATAATGGCATATTAAGCAGCGTTTGAAATAGTTGTCATTGGTCTAGAACTAATTCAGCAAAATTACACTTTTTAGTGTATAGGAGAACTTTGACATCATATTTTATGATTTTAAACATAATTAATGTTAGGAAAAGTAATCTGTCTTGCTTCTTTTCTTTTTAGATTCTGAATTTCACTGGCCCTTTATTTCTACCTCCAGGCTGTTGGAATGTATTTTCTTTGAAACTTGCTGTTAAAGACATTGCCGTAAATATATTCACCAATGTATTTTTGACTACAAACATAGGTGCCATTTTTGCAATACCTCTACAGATTTTCTCAGCACCAAATAAGGTATTGTTCACAACGTCCTATATGTGTTGTAGTTTCTAAAAACGACAACTTTTTATTTACTTATGATGCTTGGGTTTTATTCACTGGGTTTAAGTTTGTATTCTTCATGGCTAAGAAATTGAAGGATATCAATTTTAGATGGTAAATTTGTTTACAGACTGAAATTTTTATTGGAAAGGATTGACTTTTCATGAAGTAATTTAAGATTATTTAATAAAATAAATCAGGGCCATCAAGATAGCTCAGTGGTCTAAAGTGCCTTCTAGGAAAGCACAGGGACCAAGGTTTATTTCCCCAGGGCAGGCTGAGCCAGGCTCAAAAATAAAATGAAATAAAAAAATACATTATTTCAAATTGATTAGTTAAGTTCATTTTCCAAAAATTTTTTTTTCTTCTTCTTTTTTTTTTTTTCCCTTTCCTTATGTGCTGCTGAGATTGGAACCTGTGGCCTTATGCATAATAGGCAAGGACTTCCTCACTGGACTCATCCTCAGCTCTTATTTCTAGAAATTTTAAAGCAAGGAATGTATGCTTGCTATGGACAGCATCTTTAAATTTTCATTGCGTACCACAGTGACTTCAAATAAATTAGATTATAAAAGGCATTATTCGTCTTTTAAATGAGACTAAGTTATTATCTATAATTTTATTATCTTGAATTTTCCTAGTGGGCCAAATCTAAAACTTGAAAAGTTTCATAAGAGAATAAATTATAAAATCTGGGTAAATTGTGTTTAGTTTAGGTTCTCTTAAACATGTCTCATTTTTGTTAACGTTTGTTTCTTTTTATTTAGTTATTGTTGCTTCCTTTTGATCCAAGCTATTCTGTATAACACTGGGCTCTAGTTTTTCACTATGAGACATTCATGCAATCATCTTCATGATTTTTCTCTCTTACTAGTGTTGATGTTTCATTTAGAAATGCCTTGTGTTTAACTAGAAGATTAAAGGTAGAGCTTCATAAATCAAACTGAGCAAAAATGTGAGGTTAGTTAATGCTATTATTTTTGAACAGGGCAGATTTCTTAGAAATGTCCTCTTTTCAGTTAAGAGGCACATGTAAGAAGAATGTGGAGGGGAGGTAAGCAAGGGCAGGTGTCAGGCGTGTGTGCAAGTAGCAAGTTTGGACTATTCAGATCTGCAGGAAATGGGATGTACATGTCCTGAGTAGGTAGGCCTTACTGTAGACTTGGCATACTGGTTCTCAGAGGACTAGAGTACAGTTGAAAATAGGCAAACAAAACACTACCAAGACTGTCTTGACACTAATTTACTCTTTAATCCACGTGGTAGCTGGGTGTCTCGTGGCTGTCTTTATGGACATTGGTGATTGTACAGCATCCACCATTGTGACCTTTCTGTGAGAGGCAGCTCATATTTCTCTGACCTGATTTAAGGATAAAGAAAACCTAGACATGTCTTTCTAGTTGTCTGGCTCCTGGTGAAAAGGGAGTCCACTGAGGTGGAGGCCAGTGTCTGCTTCATATTTTAGTGCAGTAGGATTTTTATGCCAAGTTTTGTGATTTAAGTTATTCATATATTACTTTTCAATCTAGGAAGGGAGTCTGGGTTTTGAAGTGATAGCACATTGTGGCATGCATTATTTCATGGGAAAATCAAAAGCAGGTAAGTATTTTGCCCTTAGACTTTCTGTAGAATTCGAATTTGGGGGGATTGGGAAGTAGTGAGTAAAATTGGATGCAAAGTTAATTCTGTTAAAGTAATTGTGTCATATTCTGTTTGTAGAGAGCATGATCATTGACAGAATGACTTCATGTTGTTCAGAACCCTCCAAAACACATCCAGGGCACTTGTGGAAATAATGCTGATATTCTTTAGTAGCCTGTGCTTTTGTAAGGCTTTTAAAAAAATAATATTGTTTGATCATTGTAACAGCCTTACCAGGAAAAACTGGAAGGTGAAAGAGCTGGCTCGATGCTAGTAAGAGCTTTGGAATTGGGTTTGAAGACTTGAGCTGCAGGGTGTAAACATCTTGTAGGGTGCTAATGGTGGTGTGAGGGCAAAGGCCAGAGCATTGATCAGGAAATGGTTTTAGTTTTCTGGATTAAACTTTTTTTTTTTTGTATTTCAATTGATTAAGCTATTGAAAAAGAGAATTTTAAAGTACAGACATTTCTTTTGGAAGACTTCCTTCTTTTCTTCCTGGTACCCTGTATAGCACAGACAAGCAGGAGGCAACATGAACAGTAGACCAGTGTGTAAACATGCAGCTTGTGTAGGCTCTGGCCTGCCTTCTTTTGAGAAGTGGCATTTGTGTCTCAGCACTTGACATAGGATGCTGAAAGACTCAGATGAGCACATTTGCATGGAAGCAGAATTTTACATTTCAGATTTAAGGCTCCTAAAAATGCTTCAAATATAATCTTAATTTGTTTCAGGCTGTATTCATAAGCCATGTGTCTTTTATGTTAATACCTTTGCATAATTCAACTTCATTTTTGCTTTTCACATGTTTGTTTAATTTGATATATCATTTACCATTGAGTTAGAGGGACTTTTGGTTAAGTAGCAGGAGAAAGAGGAGGTATTTATTACTCTGTTGTCCTTAGTTTGAGGTGTTTTAACGATCAGCCCTTGAAGGTTGTTAATTAGTATTTTCTATAAATCTAAACATTAAATTTGGTCTACTTTCTAGAGAGACCTAACTGGCATAGGAGCCTTTCTCTGGATCGGTCTACCTGGGATATGGATTCAGAACTTGCAAATAAATTGTATGACAAGTGGAAGAAATATAAGAATGGCGATGTCTGTAGGTACGTTTTCAGCTGCTTTTTGTTCTGTCATTAAGAAGTGGGGAGAAACTATTATGTAGTATTTTTTTTTTAAATTATACAGAAGTTTTAGTTGTTGGTGATATTTGTCTTTTTTTTATTTTGACAAATTTCAACCCTCAGAAAAAATAGAGAGGATAATGCCGGGAGCACGCATATATTCCTCAATTAGATTGTGTTTATGAGGTGTTTGCATCTTACCATTTTCCCTGTATTTTCTTCATTTTGTATCTTTGTTGCACACACATGCACTCATTTTTGGCCAGCTCACTTGAAAATGAGCTGTATGTATCATACTTCAGCCCTCCATACTTCACTGGGACTATTTTTAACGTTATACTTCAATCTTCAACACTTTACTAGGAAATTATTTCCATTGCGTGCCCAACAAGTTCAGTGAAGTTGTATTATTTAGCATACAGTTTATATTAAAATTTTCTTAGTTGGACTAATTTGTTTTCTTTTTTTTTCTTTCATCCCTAGTGTGTTCAAAAACCAGGCATTGTGTGATTGTCTTGTTTTTGTAGACTGAATTAGGGTTCCATCTTTCACTTTTGTCATATTAATGGTTTTTGAATCCTGTTCTGTATTGGATTTCTGTGATTGGCTCCTTCGGTTTAGGCTCAAGCTAAGTGTTTTAAGCAAGAATTACTTTTTTGATCTCGTGTCTTGTTTATTGCATCATACCAGGAGTTGCGTGTCCGTTTGTCCCACTGTTAATGTTACTTGGTCTCGCTTAGGTGATGGGGGTCAGAGCTCTTCACGTTCCACACTAGTTTTCTTTTCAAAATGAAAAAATAATGTGTTCTATGATGATTTGATAGCATACAAATATATTGTTCCTTAAGAATCTTACACTCTTTGATTTTAGCATTCATGGATTTTTTCTTTTTTTGAGGAACCGGGGATTGAACGCAGGCCCTTGCGCTTGCCAGGGAAGCGCTTATTCCACTGAGCCATCTCCCAGGCCCCTATTCATGGATAATTATTGCCCAAGTCAATTGTTAGAATTACAGCTGCAAAATGGTGATGTTTTTATTTTGTTTGTTCTACCTTTATTTTTATTTTTATTTTTTATGTATTTGGTCCAGGGCCTCACTATGCAGCTTGGACTCACAGTGGTTCCCCCTGTTTCAGCTTCCCAGCCCTGGGATAACAGCCCTGCATCAGTGGCAGGTTCAGAGGGCCTGGGGCGGGGCCAGGATCAAACCCCCTGCGCTTGCCTAAGCAGGCGCTAAGATGCTGAGGCATCTCCCCAGCCCTTTGTTCTACATTTATTATCTGTAGGGTTTTTTTGTATTTTATGTTTTATGTATTTGGTACAGGGTCTCACTACACAGTCTACATTTATTATCAAGTGCTTTTTTTTTTCTCCTATAAAGGGGCCTGTTTTGAGCTTCACTAGTTCCTTCTATGTGTTGTTCTCTGTTAACTGTGATTATTTTTTATGATAAATTGTCACATTTAATATGGGAAGCTTGTATGTCTCTGATTTTTGTTATCATTCTATGAACACTTGGTTGCTTTCCAGTAAGATAGAACATTTTGGCGTCAACTTTTTCTGGGGATTGAACACAGGCTGAGCTGATCATGCACTCTAACATGGAGTCACTCCCTCGACCTTCCAAAGACAATCTTACAGTTTTTCTGCTTCAGCCTTAGCATAAGCCATTTTCCCCAGGTGACCTTCTTCCTTTGAGTAGGAGTGGTATTTAGTGATTTCCTTCATTCTTTTATATTGAAATTGTTTTCCATTGTATTGTCTTTCTCAATTACACAGGGGGAATGTTTTAGGAAAGAGTCAGTTTGCCCACTTCAGAAAGTCCAAGGAACCGGAACCCTTCCCTTTCTTTTTGCCTCGTTTGGTTATGGAGCCTGGCCTCATGTTGCGCTTCAGTGCGACTGCCCTTCGGAACAGTGTGGTAAGGACGGTGGGTCTTAGCGTCTCTGTCAGTGACACCTTAGCTCTTAGCTTTTCAGAGTGTGTAAAACCTTGGTTTGTGAGTGTGATTCGTTCTAGAAACGTGCTTATACATCAGAGCAGTTGTCCCTTTAAGAAATAATGAAAACTCATGGTTTGTTCTACAACCCAAAAATATTCATGTGAAAGTGATTAAAATACTGTAATATAATGAGATAATAAAAGTGAATGAATTTAGGGCTGGGGAGATAGATTAGTAGAATAAGCGCCTTGCCTGGCAAGTGCAGAGTCCTGAGTTCAATCCCCAGTATCACACACACACACACACACACACACACACACACACACACACAAAGTGAGTTAACCTGCACTTGTCTTTGGGAACTTTCATGGCTGTAGGGAGGGGGACGAAAGAGGGGGACTGCTGTGTAGGAGACTTTCACACCACTGACAGAGCCCCTGCTGTCCTTTGGCTCAGTGAAATATTTTTCTTTTTGTACGTCTTTAACAAAGAACCTATTCACTGATACTTGCTTTGACTTCCTTTTGAGAATTTCACAGAAATGTGACATTTCTGGGGCTTGATCCCTGGCACCATATGCTGCACCAGCCCTGCCCCCAGGCGCCCTGAGCTGACCACCCAGAGAAGGCATAGTGGCGCATGTCTGTAATCCCAGCACTGGGGAGACTGAAAATGAGGACCGCTATGAGTCCAAGCTGCGTAGTGAGACCCTGTGCCAAGAAATGTGACATTTCACTGTTGTTGAACAGATTCATTGCTGCACTCCTATACCCTTATGTAGGTGTTGCTTTTCTACAAAACTTTGTACTGTTTCCCACATTTTACACATCTTCCTAATGTCATTCAGAGTGAAGGATTCCCCTGCCTCTTTCTCCTCCTCAGTGGTTGAGATCTCCTCCATAACCTCTTGCTGTTGGGAAATGGTCATGCACGATCCTGGCGCATGTTCAGTTGTGGTCGTGTGACATTCGGCATCATGTACTTCTTGTATTGCAGCACCACTCATTTGTCCAGGAAAAATTTATTGGAAATGTGTGATCATTTGTGAAATACTTGTAGAACAGTTTACTTGAAATCTAGGATTTTCATGTATTTCCACCTGGAAATACTGTTTCAGAACCAAAATTACTGTAAGTGCATACACACGCATCATTAGGGCAAATAGAGACATTCAGAAAAGCAGAGTGATTAAACGTGCATTAAATTTTGAATCAGATGTGAATTTTATAAATGAAATATGGATTAAGAAAGTATTCAGCTTACTAGCAAAATCTTGGCTATGTGGGTTTAGCCAGGACTTAGCTTCAGAGTGAGACACTGACAGGAAGCCTAGAGCACGCCAGGCTGCTGTGCGGTTCCGCGGGGACACGGGCTCCATCTGTGCATTTACTTTTCATCCTTTGTGCGGGGGCCTCCTCCCTACAGCATGGTTTCCAGCCAGCCAGGGGGCGGGGACTGTGGGCAGAGAAGGGAGGTACCCCCGCAGCCCTCCCCTTGGTGTCGCCCTAGGAAGTGTGTCCTGTGGCTCGGGTTGCAGTGTACACATGAGCAGTGTTCAGGGAGCTTCTTAGCGTGACCCTGAGATTGCTTTTATGTTCTTTTTTTTTTTTTTTTTTTTTT